ACTTCTAGCCCAAAGAGCTTTGCGGTTTCTGCAAAACAAGATGTTAAACGTTGCAGAATTGCTTCTGTGTAAGCGACGGGGTCGGCACCTCCGGCAAAAAGTAGCTTTCGGCAAAAAGTGGTAATTTAGGTGTGGGTCTTTAGTCGCCTTAGGTTGAATAGGCTTCCGTCGGTATGATATTGGATGTAAATGCCATTTCCTTCATCTAGGTCTGCCGTGGCGTTTGGAGCATCATGTCGAATTGTGAAGAGAGTTGGTGCAAGAAACGCAATCTTGTTTCATTCCATTGATTATTGGGAAAGGCTCTGAGAGCGCATCTCCGTATTTGACTTTCCCGCGTTGATTCTCATGTAACAGCATGATCATTTTCAGAAACTTAGGAGGACATCCTAATTGTTCCAGGATCTGCCACAGGACTTTTCCGCTCATAGTGTCAAAGACTATGGTGGGGTCTAGGAACGTTATATACTTTCCTTCTGTTCCCTGCATTTTTCTTGCAGTTGTCGGAAAAACAAATACCATATCTGTGGTACTCCTATTTGCTTTGAAGCCACATTGGTTTTCTGGTAGAACTTTCTGGTAGAACTTTTCCTGATACAGCGGGCACCAATCTGTTCTGAAGTATTCTTGCAAAGATTTTTCCAGCAACTGAAAGCAGGGTGGATACCTCAGTAATTTGAGCAGTCTGATTTTCTCCTTCCTTGTACAGGGTGATATGACTCGTTATGGAGATCTGGTGGTGGTTCGCCTTTTCTCCAATAACACACAACCTCGTGAAATTTAGCATGGAATGCTTGACCTCCATCCTCCCAGACTTCAGGTGGGATTCCACCAACCCCAGCTACCCTGTCAGTTTTCACCCGCTGTATGGCCTTTAGCTTCTCTGCCATAGTAGAGGCTATATCCAATTCTTTTTCATCGATTGTTGTGTTGCTGTGTAATGTGCTGAATTCCTGAGCTTTGGACTACACGGCTGTCACTGAAGAGAGTCTGGAAATGTTCAGTCATCGATTCAGGATGTTTTATCTATGAGAAATATTTGGCCATCTGCGCTGAGTAGGAGCTTCGATCATGGTGTGTGGGTCCATACATAGCTATTAGAGCCTCGTATCCTCTGCGATCACCCGAATCTAGGAACAGTTAAATCTTTTCTGCGAAGTTGATCCGCCATTTGTTCTGGATGTCTCGAATCATCACACGAGTATGACGAACATCATGAACGTTTCTTTGGCACACTAAGACATAGTCAGTGAGATGCCAGTGCTTGGATCGAGGATGCATCCAGATTGTCTTCAAATTGTTTCTCTGCCAAAAGGTAGCGTTTGTAAAGGTGAGTTGCTGCTTTGCACAAAACTTTGGCAGAAGCCGTCCATTGTCGTTGCAGTTTTCAATGCCACACTTGTCCAATATACCTTTGCAGACTTCGGAGTTCTTTTCAACTCCAGTTGAAGTTACCAAGGATTATGACCTTATCATCTGGAAGAACCTTTTGGATAAGGTGGCATAACTCGGTATAGAATCTGTCTTTTTTTGCATAGAGTCACCTTACAGAGTTGGAGCACAAAAGAACAGCTTGTTGCTTATTGTGTAGGGAGAGGCGTAATCGTGATGACCTGTCGGCAGATTTTCAAATTTGGAGGTGATGGAATCTTTAATCATGAAGCCAACTTCTGAAAGATGACTTTCGGTTTTTTCTGATCGGTAGAGTGTGTAATCGGCACCGTGTTCACTGGGTACTGTCCTCGTAGAAAGGAACTTCACTGAGAGCAGCAATGTCGATGTTGACTTGTGATAGTTCGTGAGCAGTAAGAGCAGAGTGGCGTTCAGAGTGACCTCCGCTGTTCGTATTATCAAGCACAATTGTGATGTTCCAGCACACGGATATCAATTTGTGCTCACCTTTGGAGGTAGGTTTATGCCTTTGTCTGTTTGTTTTTATTCGATCGCGCCATGCTCGTTGGCCGTGGTTAGCCATCCAAGTGGAAATGGAGATGAGCTTTGGTTAGACACTTTTTCTAGGCCTCTCTCCATATGGAGCAAGCTTTCCTTAAAAAAGACTGCTTGCTCGTTCAGGATGTTGCCAAATGAGGCTGTTAAATCTCAACAAATATCGAGCCATTGTCCTGAATCGCCTGCACATAGGGTTGATCTGCGGCTTCCAGTTTACTTTATCACCTACCGTTTCGTCACTCTATCTATCGCTACAGAGTTTTACAAAAGTAGGTGTATCCTTCGAGTTTGCGCAATGCATTTTTAAGGTGAGGCACAGTGTGCGCGGACTAACCCCACCCTTTACTCCTAAGGCTCATCTGCAAGGACCTAACAAGCTTGGATGATGACAGCGAAGTCCTCAGGACATAGGTTTAGTTAGAGTATCTGAGATGGATGATCTTACATGCTATGCGGTCTCCACCTGCTCGAGTTTGGAGTTTGAGTTGTCTTTTTCCCAGGATGATTGCCGGAAGACTAGCATCCTGCCGGAAGGCATCCTGCCCGTGAACACACTTTGTCTGGTTCTGCACTTGAGATCTGTTTAGCATGAGAAGCCCTACCGCTGACAGTTGCCACCCTCAGCATAGCTCGGAACCTCATAAGGGCACGCAAGCTTTCTTTCGACAAGGGGTGTCCGTGAAGAAGTGTGGGAGAAAGTTAGTTGTTTTTTGCGCTTCCTAAAGTTAATGGATAATATGTACATATTTTCGGATCGTTGAAGTTATTTTCTATGTTCATCAGGTATAGTCAACAGGAATTTAGTTTTAAAAGTCAGTTTTTTTGCTTGCGTTGCAATTAATTCCGGGCGTGTTTTTTAAAAAGAAACTACGAGGAAAGATGCAAAATAATTTCTAAATCAATGTTCTTTTTTCAGATCAATTATGATTTACATCATGATATTTGTGTGGTACGATGCGATCATGCAGATTTAACTTTCCCTAATTCCTATTTGCGTAGTGAGGAAAAAAAAGTTGTCGGAATGATGGATTAAATCCACGCAGTTTTCGTATCGATAGCCATATTGCGATGAGTTAAGCTTGATTTAGTTTAGCTAGATAAGATCAATCTAATTCGAAACTTCCTGGTCAAAAAATACAACTTTAATTAGTGCTTTTGAGTGATAAATGTTGATGCTAACGCTGCTGCTTTTATGAAATCCTGAAATTTTATCTTTCGTTCAGTACACAACGCTTTTCTTTTAGTACGACTTAGGTAGTAATTTTATCACTGACTGCAATAATTAGGGGATTAGCTTTTAAAATATATCGTGAAAAATGTGAAAGAAGGAAGCAGTGTATTTGCTGTTTCTCTTTGGTTGTACGATTTCATTATTGCATATAGGAAACTATTTGAATCAAGCAGCGAATTGAACTCGTCACCATAAAGAAGTTCCGTTAGGATGTATTAGCACGAAAAGCAATGATTATTTGGCGCACCACATTTTGCACTTTTTTGAACCATTCTGGAGATTATTTCTCCCATATTAAACGATTTTGCAAGAATGGATTTTAGCTGCTGTGCATCAGGTAGTCTTGCTCAATCAAAGAAATTTCACTCATTTCAAGATTTGTCTTTCTATTAAAACTCTTTAGATTGTCAAAAGTTTTAAAAGTACAGTGAACGGTTTGGGGAAATCAGTAGCAGATCTCAGCACTTAGCTGTTGTAAACATCTCGATGTTATACTTTTCAACTAAGTTAAGTGCGTTTTTAATACTTGTTTAAATTAAGTTAGAAAGTATTTTACATCTTTAATTGCCATAGTTGGCAGCGTCCGTTTTGCTAAAAAGTATTGATGTACCTACAATTACCAATACTTTCTGCTAGTTAAACAGTTATTTCGAGTTGAAAATTTCGAAAGCGGCATAAAAAGAAATGATTAGTTACACTAAGAATGCAAGCATTTCATAGATTCAAAAATGAAGGAGCATAACTTCGGTACAAAAAAAGAAAACAAGGGAGTAAGGAAAGTTAATCATATTTACGAAATCATTTTACTATTAGGAAAAGAGATCATTCACTGACTGAGCATAGATATATGTTTTTTCATAGTAGAAACAAATGTACTCCACGAAATAAGAAAATTGAACTAATTCAGTGAACACTGTCGTGACAGTTAAAAGAAAAGGAATTAAGAAGGTGAGGGAGATTGTTATTGTTCGTTGTAGAAGTAGTTAAGTTTTAAAGGAATGACTTACAGTGTACCGGTTCGTTGCGTGTTCGAAACGTACAACAGTTGATCTTTTACTATCGTCTGGATACCAAATAAAATAGAAATGAATCTAAAGTAATTCCGATTACAATATAATGACTTCCAGATTAATAGTAATTAATGGAATTGAAGGAAATAGATGAAGAGTGTGTGGTGTGAAGCTGAGTGACAACTGATGAGTTTTTAACTTAGGATTTCTTATGTTTATATAAGGAATGTGTGAAGAGAAAAAATCATTACATATTGACGTATTCTCACAGCTGCCAGAGAGATCTACATATCTACATTAACTTATATTAGAAACAAGTGGCTTCAATCACGATATAATTTGTTCGGAGAAAGGAAAGAAATGCGATAATTAACAGAAATCTAGAGATGCACCATTGGATAAAAACATGTTTATCAGATTAGATATCTCTACAGTATGCCTATCAATGAGCATAAAATTAGTTGCCATCCAGATGTGTGGAAATCTCAATATCAGACAAAGCTCCTTTAGACGATTTAAAGATCAGATTGTCGCGAATTGCAATTTCGCGAAAGACCAAAGTATAAAAAATTATCTATCCATGCAATCATCACTCATGTCTTAGATCTTTGTTTTAAATCACATCTGTTGCAATATTTAGAAAACCCACTCCCACTTTTTTCCGTATATAAGCTGGATTGAGTGTTTGTTGGGGTTGCCTTTTATGACCAGTTTCTTCATTACGCTCAAGCAGTTTGGTTGATTCCTTTTCCTTTCCTTTCATCATTATTAGCTGTATCGTATCGTTTTTGNGACCCTTACCATTTTACAAGT